GAGGCACGAGGTAGATAGGTGCGCGTGTATGAAGTCAAGAGGCACGAGGTAGATAGGTGCGCGTGTATGAAGGTGTAGGTACTTCGTCTCAGTTAAATATATTTTAATCGTTATCATTTTTTCAAGAGTTGAAAGTTAATTTTGTACGACGGTTTTTAAACGGATCCTGTCTGATTACGCGACCAAGTTCCTAAGTTCAATTAATTTCAGTAATTTTTAAAGGATGATGGAAATATAAAATTGGAACTAAGTCATTTATTATGAAAATAAAGTTGACTCATCAACCTTTATATAATTCAATATTTCCCTTAGCTTTCGACCGACACGGTCATCGTCAGAGGAACTAAAAATACGTTACAATATTAACAAAACTAAGCGATCAAACTTATTAAAGCTATTTATGTATATTATGATATTTCAATTTACCAGAATCAATGACCACTTGACTATTCCCTTGAGTATTGTGAAGGAAAAAAGACAAATTAAATTCAGCATGACTCATGCCATTGTCGTCACATTTCAAACCACATAACCATTCCCTTGAGCATAAGCAATAAACTCCTTCAATTTGGCTCAATGTGACAGCGGTCTATACGAGGGGCCATTAAATTTCAATTGCCTTAAGTACAACTGTTTAACAAGGAATTTTACAGATAAGCCGATGCAATACATTAAAAAGGCTCAAGCCAAGATCAGGAAATTAATGAACAGCACATGTGAATCAGTCTAAATTGCTTTGCGCACTTAATGATAATGCTTTCACGTAAAACACACATGTTTTTGCTTGAGGCAACTAAAAGATGCTTCCAGATACTCGAAAGCCGAAAGGGGAATACTTCGCGTCCTAACGCCATGGTTTTAAAATGTCTGTCAGTTAAAAGCGATTCTAGGCATCAATGGACAGACATAGATATACATACAKACAGACAGACAGATTGTCAAATGGTTTGAAATGGAAAACATTACACCCAAGCTAATAAGGTCTATTGCAAAATCATTGTCGGATTCAAAGACATAGATACATGGGAAGAACGTTAATTAGATGTATCTAGTGAGTGATACGACAGCTGGATGTTCATAAATTGTTGCTCTGACAGAAAGCGCGGAGACTTCTAACACGTTTGTATCGACGACTGTGTATCTAGAATGCATACATCCGAGGATAATTATGTCATTTTCTTTGGGTCTCAGCTTATATGTTCTGTGTTTTGAACTTGACAACGATTTTGCAATTGATAGAAGCTGTGCCTATAGACCATTTCACAGATCCCGCGGCTCAACCTCAGCCTCGTCAGCGTGTAATATATTCTTTAGAAATTGCCTACAACCTGTGAAATTCTTAAGTGTTTCAATTGTTCGTTGATGTGCAAATTCCTTTCATTACTGCGGACTGTAGTCAAATTCTAAAGAATAATTACACGCTGACAAGGCTGAGGTTCAGTAACGGGATCCGTGAAATGGCCTATTGCAAACTGGACGCAACGACAAGAAAACTATAGGGTTTAATTAAGAGTCTGATCAATGACACTCGACATATTTATTAAAATGAGGGATATTCACATACCAGGGATAGACACTTTCATTCACACAGATAATAAAGGTTAACATGATATGATGTGATTTTATGTACTGGATACAGTTACAATGGTGGCATGCTGCACACGCGTGACGGTACGTGTCGTGTTCTAGATTCTGATTGCATGAACTGATAATTCGTGCGCTGTAATTGGTCAATTCAACGGGGAGTGAGTTTTGTACTGTAAAAGTCAGATATGATAACCTACATATCAAGGTATACAGCATAATTTCAAGGATTTTCGTATTCATCGGCAAAATCAAACAGCTTCCTGCACTAAGTTATAAGTACTTGACGTTAATTGCAGCACATTAGCGAGAAGTGTTGTATCGAAACTATCCTCTTATGAGGCAGATAAAATTCCTTGCCAGTTAAAATCAGGTCCAGTACATCTATCTCTACAAAAAGATTTGAAGACCTGGCTTTTCAAGAAAGCATATGATTAATCTAATTGACTTTTATTATTTTATATTAAAATTTTACTTGAGTTTTAATAAATGATTTTTATTGAATTTGATACAATGTAAATGTTTTTAATGATATAAAAGTGCTAATTTTTGTTATATTGCAAAGTGTTTTTCTATGTATTTAATTGAATCTTTGTCATTGTTTATAATATTATAACAATTTAAAAAAAAAATTAACAAAAAAGTTAAATGTTCTTATTTAAAAAAACTGTAAAGCGTTATTGAACTAGTGTATACTAACGCTATAGAAATTTTAAATTATTATTATTATTATTATTATTATTATTATTATTATTATTATTATAAAAAAGTATCCTAAATCTGACCTTGAAGGTCGACCTTTCCCTCACGAGATCCCATGTGAAGATTTCTTTAAGCACCAACAGCGTCGCTCCAGGGAGCAGTTGTAATTCTCAATCCTAAAATCACGTATCAAGGGAAAATTCAGCTATAATCTCTGTAAAAAAACCTAAACTTTGTCTGGATGAAATATTTTTAACTTCTATAAAGAGCAAGGGTTACTACGATCTGAGGTAAGGATCTTGCAAAAACCAATATCATACGGTCTTATATATAGACACGACCTGTGTTCTTAGTAGTACGTCATTCCTTGTAATTTCATATAGAATTTTACTTCTTAAATTCAACATATTTCCTAACCTTATTTAAAAGATTATTATTAGTTGTTGAGGTAATATTCGGGATATACTCATATCACAGAAACATACAGGTTTATAATATTTTCACTGGTTAATTTCAAAGATGATAATACGCTATCTTCATAATAGGACACCTTCGCGCGAGTTAAAGCGAGTAACTTTTCTAACTTTTTCCGTGCATATTAAGTCTATTAAGGCTAGTCACAGCGAGATAAGGCGAGTTTAGGCTGCGTTCATAATGTATGGCCGGGGGGGGGGGCAGGTGAAATTGAGGGGGGATCGGGAAAATTTCGATCAGAGGGGGGATGCACAATTTTTGGAAGAAGCTACAAGCCTTGCTTCGGGGGGATCGTATTGTTTTGCATGACTTTAGGGGGGGGGGGGTTGTTAAGAATTTTTCTGGACATCTCAAATTTTCACCTGCCCTTCCTCTCTGCCATACATTATGAACGCAGCCTTAGATCTTAGAGAAGCTCTCAATTTTCAGTTTAAAATCAATGCGGATGCGTACTACGAATACTACGACTCCATTGGAAGAGCTGAAGGCTGTCATTGTAATTATCCGTGGGATTAGTGGTTTTTGTATTGCACTCATGTCTGGTTAGGACATCTTGAAATAACACGCTTATGTTTGCATGTGGGATTAAATTTAGGCGCGGGAGGTTKCAGGAATTAATGTCGCACGTAATTTTTTGTGTGTTTGCTCGATATTTCTTWACTGAGAGGAAAGGCTGCGTGATATTATTTTCGTAGGTGAAGCGCTTGCTCGATAAKTTCTTTTGGATATTTACGCAACCCCYTTCWCAATTATCTAATGGTGCGTMCCTAAATATAGGATGGTGTAATGAAAATGCGCAAGTATTGTTATACTAAGTGTGTATCATCTTGTCATTAGCGCTAGGGTATTGCGCATTTGTCAGTTCAGCTCATGCAAATTCACCAAACGAAAAGCTTAATAAACACAACCGCTTATAAGAAGCGAAGATCAATCAAAAAATTCCGCACAGCTATTTATTTCGCAATTTGAAGCAAACGTGTCGAATTGACTTATAAATCAAGTGTTAAGGCTCAGTCAGACTTTCGAGGTGACGCAGTGCTAACTACTTGGAATATTAATTGTTGACTCAATAACGAGAAACAGCTGACTTGGTGGTCAGACGATAAACATTGACATAAACTCATTAAGGATGAGAATCTCTGAGCTTTATTTTCGAGCTTTGAAATTTTCACTCCAGGTTTCTCCATTATTCCATAAATAAGCTTAGATTTTCTCCAAGTCTCCCTTAGTGTTTTTTTGTCTCGTCCCTAGAACGTTAAGTTCTGCTGGGTGAGTATAAGCGAAATTTAACATGGCGCAAATCTATCCTTAGCTAGTTCGGTCTGCCGATCGTTTTTCATAGAAAAAAGTGATAGAATCGTTACGCACTCATTTGACTGCAAAGAGTAATCTTTACAATTTAAAACTGGGTTCAATTTAAATCTATCACGCAAGTCTCTCTCATCCAGTGTTACATCGAGTGCCTCATCACATTTCAGTATATCATCGCATCGTTTGGAAATTTTAAGAGATTTTATGATTTGCTCGCTCACTACTCCGTGTGCCATTAGTGTGTGAAAATCTATTTTGCAAGCTCAGGGTCAGACAAGGTCGTTAATTTGTGGTTCTAACTAGAGATATTTAATCGCTTGATGGAGTCATGAGTGTGATATCTTGTCTCAAGCAAAGCGTTGCTTATACACCTATTTTGAAAATCGTTGTCGCACCAAGAGCTTCAAGTAACAAGCCAAGGCTCCAGAGAACGTCGGTTTTTTTAATTATAATTGATTTATTCATGGTTTATGCAAGTGGCTATAGCTCTACACTAATTATCATCTCAAGCAGCCTTGCTTGGAGCAAATTGTGAAGTCAATAAATGAAAATGTACCATGAATAAACTAATTACAGCTAAAAGTACCGGCGTTCTCTGCGGTCTTGGCTTGTTGCTTGAGGCTTTTGGTGCGAAAAACGATTTCTGCATGAAATAGGTACATGTCCTTTAAATTTGATGCGGGAGATTGGTCGTGAGATGATCGCTTTGATAGCTTTAACTTTTTTAAAAGGCTCATATAAAACAAATAAATGAGATTATACTGGTCTTAGCAGGTTGGTCGACTGACAAATGGATGGTCGCTTTCACAGGTTTAACTCAGCTCATATAAATTAAATAAATGAGATTATCCCGGTCTGATTAGTTCGACCGACAGATAAATAATGGCTTTYACAGGTGTAACTAGGCTTATTTAAAACTACACTATTATATTATCCTGGACCTACGAGGTCAACCGACTGAGGGCCTGACAGATTTACTGAATGAGTTTAACGTTTTGAGAGGTTTAATGGAGAAATATACTGTGATCATCTTTCTATGCAGCATTAATTGAGAGGTTCAACCGTTTGTAGTTCACTATTCTATACACATAAAGGAGGAACCCTATCGAATACGATCGTTCGTGTTGGCAGGTTCGGTCATTTTCGATATACGTGATTATAGAACGAGCCAAGTACTGTACCCCGCTGATGACCCCAAACAAACCGCAAATAATCATCATTTAAAATATCTGGAAAATCGATCGTTTGGGAATTTAATTTTGTTTATATGATTATGAAATGATAAATGCAATCACCAGCTCATAATTACTAAATATCCAACCTCATCTGTGACTGGAGCCTTCTCGCATGCATCTCGTTTGGGCTCCTCGGGCTCCCTGTGGAGAAGAGAACAAAAGTCGGTACGTTCTTCTCTGCCATATTATTCAACACAGGAATTACGTTTTGGAAAATAAGTATTAGGGACCTTAAGCTGCCGGACGGCAACGTGGGCGACAACGTCGGTGAAATTGAGGCGCTTCAAGCTTCTATTGTATTATTATTTCGTGTTTACCTAGTATGTTACTCAATAAGCATCCCCGTTTTAGAGTGAGATGTCGTCTTTTGGGAGCGCTTTACTTATAACGAAAATCGGCAAAGATAAGCTTTTGGCGTAGCCGTTCTCTTTAGTACGTAAAAACAGGACATTTCACGTCTTACAATCAGCATAAAACGGTAATGATGCATAGTATTTCGTACATTCCAACGAGTATCTATTGAATAGCGCAATTAGTGCTATTGTATGTTTGCCGACGTCGTCGTTGCCGTCCTGCAGCTTAAGGTTCCTAATAATTCGCCTGCGCGCGGAGGAGGCATTTGATATTTTCTTGAGAGCAAGTTTTAAACCTTTCATTCTTATTGTCACTATTTTAACAAGAAATAACTGCAAATACGATCAATAAAGGTAGAAAGCAAGAACTTACATTTGTGTAGGACCGAACGAAGGACGAGTGCCAACTGACTCGAAATTAACACAAAGTCTTGATAAGCTGTAACGACGAATCCCCGAGGGACAACACTAACTATAGCGAAAAATGCAAATGAATGTAAAGATCTAACAAAGGCTATAGCGCGCTTGAAATAGGGAACAAAGAGTACTCATAAATACCAACGGTAAAATAAAAAATGCACAATGTCAATTTGATTGCACGGACCTTCACTGGAAAACGTGAATATTCTGCACAAAACAAGATTAACTTTGAGTAAAAAAGAACTTGAAAGTATTTTGCGTAAAATTTTCCTTGCATATTCTATTTTAACAGAAAAAAAGTTGTAATCCCAATGTAATCCTTCTACATGACATTTTCATCTGGCAAGGTCTGTCTGCCGATGAGGAAATCAAGTCCATTCAGGCATCTGTTCCTATCGTTCGTACATAAGCTAATGATCCCAGTCATTCAGTGCAATTGTCAAGTCCTTCAAATTGTTTTCTCTAAGAGGAAATCTAAAAAAAGCATTGTCAAAATCCTTCTATCTCCGTGGATCCAATTCTATATTTAACCAGGCATTTCTAAATTAATTCCAAATAAGGAGAAAATGATTTTTATTGCGTTTTTCTAATAATTATTAGATTATTACTTCATGCATCATCTTGCTTATCCATCATCTTAACAAGCTTATTTATAGATGTTACGTGATGGTATTGACCTATTTAGAATAGCATCTCTCATCACGTGATTGTCATAGCCAATCACATCAATTTATCAGCTTTATCATTCAGTATATCATTACTTTTTCATTAATGCGTCTTTTCGGGGCTTCGTCTTGTTGGTTGGAGGTCTGTAAGGTACGTTGAGTTCCGAACAAAAGCCAAACCTAAACTTCTTCAAGAATATTCACACCGAGGTAGGTAAACTTACTTTAAACTGTTAGACTCTTCTATAAATGGCTTAGTTTCATTTCGAGTCATGCGATTAATTATTTTTCTTTTCAAAACCAAGAAAAACATATCCTAGGTATTAAATAATTTTAGCTCAAAAAAATTTTTTTTTGAAAACCCCTTCCATCGACTTCCGACGAGAGGAGTYGTTTTGGGGGACAAAAGGATAAGCCTTCTTCTCTGTTGCAAAGCAAAAATCCCTTGTTTTGTCCCCAATAACAGTTCATCTCGGGACTCAGTGCAAGGGGGCTACTGATATATTAGAAAGTTTTAGATTTACGTTCACGGCAAACGTGAAACGTCAGTTGACCAGTAAACCATTTTTTCAAATTACTGAAAAAGAATCGCAAAAAAGTCCAAGTTGTAGAAAAACAAAAGAGTATTTGCGCTTGGTGAGAAGGTTTGTAAAAGGTAAAGTAAWATAAAGGAAAACTATGAAAACGTGGTCACGTTTGCCGTTTGCAGGGAGGAAAAAAAGTCAATCTAAAACTCTCTAATATCATCAACCGTCATCACATATTCTATTTATCGTTCTGTGCACCGTGCCCTGCCCACTCATAATCATGTTATAATTTTCCCTCGCTTTCTTGAACACTAGAAGATTTTTTTGTTTTTTCTTGTTGATCATAACATCAGTCTAAAAGGACATTAAAACATCTGRAACATAAATTACCCAAGTGCATTTAGTTATTTTACCTGCCTGACAAAGCAAGCTAGTGAGTATATTAGGGGAAAATCTATTAAGCATGGTAGTACATCTAGGAAGTACGCCTTTTCGTCCTTTTAGTTTGGAAAATCATTTTAAAGAATGAAAATCAATTTATTATATAAATATACACCTACTTGCAAGAACGTTGACATACGAAATTAGAACATTAGAACATTTAGTGGGATAGGAATTATATTAAAAAACAAAAGAAGATCACTGAAGCTGAACTTTTTCTTTTGTCTTTTAATTTATTCCTTTCTCGCTAAATTGCTAATGTTCTAATATCGTATGACAACGTTTTTGCAAGTAGGTGTATGTGTATGAGCATATATATAGAATATATTTGTGCTGCGGTAATAATGTATCTAATTGAGCTGATCTGCGCACATATCAAGCAACTTATGCAGCTGCTAACTAATATATATATCTTAAGATACTTTGGGACTTCTTGGCTGTATAGAAATAGATTTTATGTATATACTTGTTAAATGTTTGAAAGAAATTCTTACGATCGATAAAATGGAAAAAGAAAAAAAGAAAAAAAAAAAAGTCTGCTTAATGTGCTTTAAGGCTTTTAAAAGTGTCCAGATTAATTATGGTGTCTCGTCTCATGTACTTGAATTGATGAGTGTGGTATTTATTTAAAAAAAACTAATGTTTTTTAAGTATTTTCAGCTGTCATTACCTTGTACTATTCCTACTGTTTATTCCTATATTCGTTTGGTTTTCCTTTCATTAGTTGAGAATCTTTAAAGACAAATATTTTAAAAGTAAACTTAACCGGCCTCATCAATTGCTCGAGGTGGGTTATCATCTTTCTCCAAAACAAAAAGTCTCAGGTCAAGATATCGCCCACCTTCGGTTGTAATGTAGACTAGTGTTTTCCTTTCCTCCAAAACACTCAAGATGAAATAAAAACTGTCTCTATTAGCCATTCCGAGGTTGAGGGAGAAAAAAGGGTCGATTTGGCATTGCAGTTCTTTAGGGACATATTTCCAAGATGGCGTCTATTTTGTTCCCTAAAACAATCCCACAATGCACTGCAGTGTCAACTCGACCCAGTTTTTTCCTCAACCTTCAAATAGTGGCTATATAATTTTGAATGCGAGGAACATTAATTCATCTATCTATCGAGGCAAGAAATTTTACACGAAAATATTGTAAACCGGAACTATTTATTTGAGGAGAGCTGTAAATATTGACAAAAAATACTTTCCGATCTTCAATGAGCTGGGGGATAAATGGAAAAGTCTTAGTGATGTTTAGCAAAAACTGAACAAACAAGAGGAGACGTACGTGTTTCTTTTCTAAACTAAACCCTTCCATCCATCCATCCATCCATCCATC